CGAATTGAATCATAACACACAAAACTGGTCTCGTTCCAATGGCCGCCTGTTTTAATAATAATGCCCGGATGTTTCACAAGAACGATAACTCCACACATAAGACAATCAGAGTTATTTCCCATTACTCTACATCTAAACACTACATCTTCTCCCCTCTTAAGACTGTCACTATTACAATGAATATTATTGCCTTTCAAAAATCTTCAAAGTTCTATTTGATATGATCAGACAACTTTTATCAATTTAAATTTAAACTCAAAATTTCCAAATTAACACAGTTCATGGAGAATACTAAATTTTCACTGTATTCAAGTCCATGTAACACACTAACTGTTAAAATTTAAAACTCAGTTCCTGTAAAACATTCCTTACTTAGGACTTGAAAATTAAACTACACTTGAATCACAATGTCACTGTAATCCAACTATGCAAAACTTCACTTTCACACAAAGTTATGTCATTTCAAAATCATCAAACCGCTTAGGCTTAGTTTTCTCGCGCACTGGTCTTGATCGCGGGATCTCCACCTGATGTGACAAGTTTGATTCCATTCCATCATTAGTAGACCTATGCATGACATCGTCATCGGCTTTGTCCTGCTTCGATACATTGTTGTCAGACATGGTCAAACTTTCACTTTCAGAAGTAGCAGTTGTAGATTTGCTCTCTACCAGAGACTCTGGACTCTGAACGTACTTTTTTACATGTGTACTGTTACGCTTATACTCAACTCCCTCAGGAGAAACAAGAGTACACTGATTTCCAACTTTCCTTTGGAGTTTAAACAGAGTTGGGTTGAATGGAGAACTTAGCTTATTGTTCCTCGACTGTTTAACTAACACCTGATCTCCTTCAACTAGATCTGATTCCTTTGCACCACGTTTTTCATCAATGTAAAGTTTGTTTTTGACTTTTGCAAACCAGTCTCTATCACGAACTCCTTCTTCGATGGTTTCATTCCGATGAACATCAAGTTGAGGTACTTTATTCCTCAATTTACGCCCAAACATTAACTCTGCTGGAGAAACACCTGTTACAGCATGGGGCGTGCCCCTGTATGCCAAAAGATAAGTTCTCAAATCTTTCTTCCAGTCACGTGATTCAGCATGAGCAATACGTATTCGTTTCATGATAGATCTGTTCTGTCGTTCCACCTCTCCATTTGCTGCTGGGTGGAGCGGAGTAACACGTCTGTGATGAATTCCATTATCACATAGAAATTCCTCGAACAAGGCCGACACAAACTGAGGACCGTTATCTGATGTAATCGATACCGGAAGTCCATAACGTGCAAACATGTTCTCAAGTGCATCAATCATCCTTTCACTAGATATATCCTTTGTAATGTCCACTTCATAATATCTGCTGTAATAGTCTATTACAACAAACACGTAGTGTCCTGACGGTAAAGGTCCTAGCAGGTCTATCGAGAGATCCTGCCATGGTCCTGATGGCATAGGGGTCGGCGATATGGGCTCGGGCCGTGGCAATGAACTTACCACTTGACAGCCATGACATGACTTGACATAAGCCTCTACGTCCTTATCTAAAGTTGGCCACCACACTTTAGTTCGTAGCTGTTGCTTTGTAGCGACAATACCAAGGTGTCCCTGGTGAGCTAATTTAATACATTCTGTTCGTAACACTGCTGGTTAACCAATCGTGTTCCACGTAACAGCAGGTACCCTATCTGGGACAGTTCATCTTTTACCGCATAATACTTTACACATTCCTTTTCCCACTGGTCTGCAGATAAAGCCTTTCTCACCAGTGTTAGCTCGGGATCAGACTTGGATTTTTCCTCCACCTCACGAGTTGTCATTGCTTTTGGGGTGCTTCTCTCTGCCACAGCTCTGACATAATGCTCTGTTTCTGTTTGTAGATCTGTTACACCACTGTGTTTCCTTTTCACAAGTCGCGACAATGCGTCAGCAATGTTCTGTTTACCAGGTTGATACCTAATACGAAAATTGTAGGGCATCAGTCTCATAACCCACCGTTCAATACGCGCGTTAGGTTTGGATTTTGGACCATACAGTATTTCCAATGGTTTGTGGTCTGTCACCAGCTCAAAATCAATGCCATACAGGTATATGTGGAACTTTCCACATGCCCAAACCACTGCTAAGGCCTCCTTTTCTGTGGTTGAGTACCTTCTTTCAACATCAGTCAGTGTACGACTAGCATAGCTGATAACTTTGGTCTCGCCTTCAGATTCCTGAACGAGTACAGCCCCTAAACCTACATCACTCGCGTCAGTCACAAGTTGTGTTTTTGTTGCGTCTAATCGGAAATGTCCCAATGTATCTGCGTTCACAAGGCTTTCCTTTAATGCTCGAAAACAATCCTCCTGTTCCTGTCCCCACAAAAACTTTACACTGGACTTGGTAAGTCGTCTCAAGGGTTCAGACAATGTAGCCAAGTTTGGAATATAGCGAGCACTAAAGTTGACAATGCCTAAAAAGCTTCTCACCTCAGATGCACTTTGTGGCCTCTGAGCCTCAATAATGGCCTTTGAACGATCGGATGTCGGCGCGATTCCATTTTTTGACAATACATGACCCATAAATGTGATCTTGTCCATTCCCCACTCGCATTTCTCCTTGTTCAGAGTTAAGTTCTTTTCCTGCAGTCTACACAATGCTTTCTCTAGCCTTTGATCATGTTCATGTTTATCCCTGCCATGAACCACAATATCATCGGATATATTCTGAACCCCTTCACAATCATGAAATGTCTGTGATATGATTTGTTGATACTTCTCTGGTGCTGAACTGATACCAAACATCAGCCGCTTATACCTGTATAATCCTTGATGCGTCACAAATGTAGTTATCTCCCTTGATGAATCTTCTAATTCTATCTGGTGATATCCATACTTCATATCTAATTTGCTGAACACTGTACTCCCATTCATATTGTACAGTATCTCGTCCACAGTGGGTATTGGGTGTCTCTCACGGACTATAGCTTGATTAGCCTGTCTCATATCCACACATATCCTGATATCGCCATTAGGTTTTGGGACAACTATTACCGGGCTAACCCACGGGGTTGGGTCATTCACCTTCTCGATAATGTCCTGATCCTCAAGTTCATCAAGTTTAGCACCGACTTTCTCTCGTAGACTGTAAGGAATCCTATACATAGGTTGTGCCACCGGTTTTACAGATGGATCAATATGAAGCTTCAATTTGAAGTCATTCAGCTTCCCAATTCCTCCAAAACATGACTTGTACTTATCCAATATATCATCATGGACTGAGTAGACTCCAATTTTCAGCACTCCGAGATCTACTGCCGTAGCCCTCCCTAATAAAGCCGAACCTGTGCCATCAAGTACATAAAAGGCAGCCTCAATTTCATCATCACTTCCGTCAACAGACACCGTAGTAATAAATTTGCCAAGTAACGATAAAGGTTTATCTGCTCCATATGAATACAGCCGTTTGTCAGTTTTCTCTGAACGACACACAATCTTTCTTTTCTTTAAGTCCTCCCATGTAGGCTTGTCAATGATATTGACTGTCGCTCCACTATCCACAACCATATCAACTTTGTGACCACCAACCATGAACGAAAGTCTGTCTGCATCTGTGTGTTGTACACTAAATGCATACTCTGCCTCTGACTCTACACAGTTCACTTTACCTTTGACCTTTGACAATGTTGACCTCTCTGCCTTTAGGCAACGTGGTTCCTTTGTTTTACAGCATGCACGAAAATGCCCCATCTTACCACACTTATTGCACTTTTTGTTTTTCGCTGGACAGCCTGAGTCTTTCGCGAAATGACCTTCACGTCCACATCGAAAACATAAAGCCTTTGTGCTACTACTTGTTGACCGTTTTGTGTCCTTTTGTTTCACAAAGTTTATCTGATTGACTGAGCTTAGAGGAGACTCCATTTTCTTAGCCTGGACATCTGCCATTTCCATTGTAGCCGCGATTGTGCGTAATTGATCAAGTGTCAATTCCTTCCCCTTTTCCAGACATTTGGTTCTAAGTTTATGAGATTTACATTTTTCTATTATTTGATCCCTTATTTGTTCCTCAATGTTCCCAAATTCACAAAGAACTGCTTGTCTTCTGAGTCTGGTGATGAATTGTTCGATAGACTCGTCTTCCTGACACATTGACCGAAATACATACCGTTCGTATGGCACGTTTATTTTTGTTTCAAAATGTTTACTCAGTGTGGCTACCGCTACAGCATACTCATCACCTCCCTCCGCCTCTGTTAGCGTGAAATAGATGTCTTGAACTGGTACACCTGCACAGTGTAGTAATAACGCTTTCAACTGTTTCTTGTCTGTTACACCCTTGCCAGTGGCAAATAAATCGAAACTACGAAGCCATCGCTTCCATTCCTGCTGTAAATGACCTGGGTCACCATGTGCGTTGAACGGCTCAATACCATTCAGGTCGATCGAAGACATTTTCACAAATGACAGTTCGTATTTCTTACATACACCAGTTCTTGATACATTTACTAACGTATTCGCAATATCCTCGTCGCCAGATTGTCGTGTCGAATTGAATCAGAGCCCGAATTGAATCATAACACACAAAACTGGTCTCGTTCCAATGGCCGCCTGTTTTAATAATAATGCCCGGATGTTTCACAAGAACGATAACTCCACACATAAGACAAACAGAGTTATTTCCCATTACTCTACATCTAAACACTACATTGTCCATTTTAACACTAAACGAAACGAATTACACGGTATGGTATAACTAAACACTATGACCATAGGCCGCAAATACATTCCTTCTGAATTTGATTTCAATCGATAATACTCGGTAATTCGACATATCATAAATTTACATTCTAATTTAATTTCTTGCTTCAATTCCAGTTGTTTTACTAATAAAGTAATAAATCATCCTTTATTGTTAGAAATCATTTGTAAATAGGAATTATTTAGTAATAAATTTGTTATGATATAATCCGTTTGTTGCCTTGCGATAAGTTTACATATCTATCACTAGTGTGATGTAATCTGGGAATTTTCACTGGCTGCACGCGTTCATAATTTAGTAACTGTTTTCCTTTGATGAAGATTTCCTCCATATTTTGCCTTTAAAACCTGTCAAAGTGTATTTTTCTGATTTATGCGTTAAAAATATCTTTAAAGTTTTCGTTTCATAGCAAAATTCAGGACATGAGTTCTCATTTAATATTCTATTTCTAATCGATTGCAGAAAGAATGGAAAATGACCTATTCACATACGCTTTCGTGGAATAGGAAAAAGCTGTGGTGGAATCACTGATACATATAAACCCAATAAAGTGTTTTAACTGGTATCCTGAATTTGATCCGCTGGCTCTTAATCAGTCGTAAACATCCTGGTATCAGACATACTATGTTACTTTGTAGTCTAATGAAATATAGGCGTAGCTGTACACTACATTAGCATCAGAATCCATTTGAGGCTAACATATTTTGCATAAATAAATGTTTAAAAAGTCTAAAGAATGTAGAATCTAGATACATACAACAGAGCAGCCAGAGAAGTTTTCCATGAGTAAGATTATCAATCAATATGTGTTAACAACTAAATTGTTTCAATAGATTAATGAAACAATAACTTGTATCGTCTTTAGTTTGTTCCGTGTGAAAAGGTAGATGACATTCCCACAACGTTATGATGTATGAAAAGACTTATCGCTGACTCAAATTGTTAGAACGAACACATTATGCATTCGACAGAGATAATATCTAATTTCTAAACTTTAACTCAAATCTAGCTGCTAAATTTTTTCATAATCAGTCTCTTTAATAGAATAGATATATTGAGGTATAAAATTGAGAAAATGGTGGTCTCTGTTCTTCACTGGTTATACAAGGGTTTCTACTTTGTGAATCAATACAAATGTTCACACAGAGGCAGTACTGACAATTCACGTAAAAGTACATCTATGTTTTGATCAATATGTGAAAGAGGTACTGGATAATATCCGAGTGAACCATTAAACACATCAATTAACTAATTAGGCCCATAAACACGAAAAAACTGTCTGTAACTATTCAAATAAGTCTATTCTGTAAGTGCTTTGCACCGATACGATTTTTGTATAATAGCTTCTGTGATGTACTGTCAACACACAAATGTAATGATAAAAGTGCATTTCATGATTAATTATAAATACATTGTATAAAAACGTCATTTGGTACAATCGGATGAATAATTCTACTGAAATCGATGTTCCGCTTCCTACGAACAGTTATGCATTAACAATAGCACGCGACCATTTATAAGTGGATATTTTTCCTGTTTATTTATCATTTATATTTTTAAGTAGTCTAAATATCATTATATAAACTGTTTTCGGGCATTTTAACTCCATTTTGATTAACTGTTGCAAATGTTTCTTTATGTGATACATTGTCAAACGTTAGTTTTGATATGAAAATTCCTACTAATGTGTTTTCTTCTGCCTATCTACTCTAGCTGTTTCGAGGACGTAAAGCCAACCACAAACAGACGCACAAATACTATCAAGTTTTATGTCTGTTATTCTCTGTAGTGTTTTCTATAGCGTGCTAATCATCTAATGATAATTTTACATTTTTAAAATAAGGAATAAAAAAGATATTTAACACATTTTCATCTTGACAGAAAAATATGCACTGGTACCTTTTGTAACAAAACCACATCTTTTTTAACCATACAAAAAGTCAACATAATCATGTCGTGGGATTGAAGGAAAAGTTTACTCCCTATTGTAGAAGACGGCATAATGCAGTTGTCGAAAAGTAATTTATATAAATTTTGATTTGTACTGAATCGAAAGTACAAGCCTCCTAAGACTAATGCAATATGTATCATTATCGATTATCAAATGAGACAAAACAACACATTAGTTCAAATTTGTAAGATATGGGATAAAAAAATCGCTCTGCAGATATCTAGAGGATATGTTTATTTTAACATTTAGAATTATAAATTATAAAGTGATCCGATGTTTCTGACTCTCTACAACATGAAATTCTTAAATACAGACACGGGTAATGGTGCATATTGCCGAAAGATATTTAAGATGTGTTAGCAATTTCCTGACAAACACTGACAAAAAATTTAACAACCATGGGAAGGCACGGTAATCTCGATTTAAATCAAATCACGGAAGATTGTGAACCCTTGGAACGATGATTTCTACATCTATAACGTTTTACGATTCAAGTTGATGCGTTTCCAGTTCTATAGATTTATTTGCCGTTACACGGAAAAGAAATAAGTATCAGTTCTAAGCTTGTTTTCACATCCCATATATATGTACATTGTATGTGTGATATTGTTGAGTATTGGATATAAAATATTGTTTAAACTAAACATGTGAGGAAATAGACGGGAAAGTCCTTTTTAGTGTTGCAAACAGCGAAAAAAAGTATAAACGCTGAACACAGCGTTGTATGGAAATCGCATATTATCGTTAATACGTGATTAAGGGTACTGTATAACGGTGTATTAGGAATACTAGAATACCAGAAAGTTATCACCATGATAATATTTCAATGATTTCATATCATAGCAAGCAAATATTAAAGTGAACAAATGAAATAAATAGATTATTTACGTATTCAACATCTTTTGCTTAACAACTGTGTACGTTGTTGTTGATTTTCGTCGTATGAACAACGTCTGCCATAAAATTTTGGCGGTGTCGCTATAATGAATTGGAGTGTTCGTGAGAAATGTCAATATATATATAATTTTTATATCTTTTATGATTTCAGCAGAACGCCATGTGTATATTCTGTACGTTTGGTGTAAGGTGTCCTGGAGCGTACCGCACTGAACTTCCCTGATCTATTTTACTAGTTATGTAAGCCAGCCTTTCAGTGTTCCGGCAGAAAGAATGTAATCTGGATTGATAACAGAAACGACGGATAAAGATGGTCGCTTTGGACCAGCATGAAGAAATCAAACATCGGATTGAAGAGATAACAGAATTTCTCTATAATCTTCATCAACAGGCATCTTTCAATTATTTTTCTGATATCTTTTTTCCAACGCAGCTGACGTTATCTCAAAAAACGGTGCTACTCCAGAAACGATGTGATAACAAAGCATTTAACATGGTATTGAGTTATAAATGGCTATACACAAGAAATAGATCTATGATGTACATATATATAGAAGTATACATTTCTCTAAAAAACAATGATAATGGTAATTTAATTTTTTGAAGCTTGCATCTCAGACCAGGATGATAATATTGAAGCATAAACGACTGCACAGTAAAAGAATATCAAAACCAAAAGGGAATAATATGATTATCTGACTCTGCTTTGAAGATCCACGATAGTAACACGGCTTCTGGTTTCTGACTGTTATCAATAATGCTGGTATATATTTATTGTTGCATGGCCATTTTGTTAACTAGACAGTGTCTAAATATGTAACCCTTGTTAAATAAAAGATATAATAATAATAATAATAATAATAATAATAATAATAATAATAATAATTATAATAATAATAATAATATACAAATTAAAAACATTTAAATAAATAAATATGTTCTTCTCAGTGACTATTCATAATTGAGAACAGCAGTGTAGCCAATAGTGCCTGTTTGATAATGATAAACATTTATAATGTGGCCACAACCTACTTCCCCTTAGTTGTAGAGTCTAGGTTGATTATAATTTAGTTATCTAACAGTTAAAACACTCACTAGCGGTGTCAATAATTTCTATGCTCTACATCGTGTGGTGTTTACCTTTCCTGAAGTTTAATATGAGTATATTATATCTTTACTAATGCGAAACAGTGATAAAACAGTCAGTGATATTTGTAAGCATGAAGCATAGTAGCAGTTGCTGCACAACCTATTTTTAATGTTCTATTTATAACACAAGAGCTGACGTAGATATTACGATACAAGCGAAACTTAATCTAGTCTGAATTTTTTAAGAACTTTAAGAAAAGAAATAGAGCGGTTACTTGTGCAGAACACAACACAGTGTCGCTAACAGGTCTAGAAGGTGTGCCGTCATACAACAAACTATGTAGGTAAGTGTTATTAAGTTCATCTTTGTGAACTGTGATTAGCTCTTTCGTCCTGTTAACAACAAAGGTTTGTATCATAAACCACTACACTTTGTATATACGTATGTGGAGCTGCTTGAATCATTCAAGTAATCAGTATTGCTTACATTATCATACATATACCGGAAATGTGAATATCGTATGATGTCGATACTTTGATTGAAACTTTCAGTGTAATATATCAAACCGATGTTCACATTTCCGACACAAATGTGTTTCAGTAGCAATGTTACTCAATAAATCAATAGGCAATACTGATAACCTGAATGTTTCATGCAAATCCACAAACGTAAATCAGTGTTTAGATAGTGAAATAAAAATGCTCAGTGTTTTGGTGATATTACAGTAGTGCTATTAGAAAAAGACAAGAACAACCGAGCATCCATTGTCAGCACACCTCAATAATTAACTGGGTATTTGTGTGTTTGCTAAGACGGTTAGTATGAAATAAAGAAAAAATCCCATATTTTCTCATAATTAGAAAATGTAAATTAGTATTTTCAATATATTCTATGAAAAATTGACTATTTCCAAGCAAAATCAAGTAAAGTATAAACACTGTATTTTTTCAGATTTTGGTGACAACTCTATTTTTTCAAGACACACAAAAAATATCTCTTCTGCAGCTGCATTTTATGATCACCAGCAACACCAGACCACTGTAGTATTTGCATAGACAAAACTGATGTTGTGCGTAAGATGTGAACCTGTCGTTATGTCTCTGAAGACGCTGATCATATTCCTGTCGCTAGAGGTCGTTTATGGGTCCTCCATGGGAACAATGGCGGACATGCAAAGACTGAATGACACTTTGTTCCGAGATTACACACCCGAGTTCCGACCAGCGTTTTACCTAAACCACACAGTAGACGTCCACATTCTGTATAACCTGTTTTCTTTCATTAGCTTCAGCGTGATTACTGAGACAATCTCATTGTCTGGAGCTTTGCAGATGAGGTTTGTTTGGCTTTGCTTCTAATAACTTACTACATGCTTATAAGTCGTTGTAAGGATGGGGTTGACAAATGTTTCAGACAAAATTCTGAGGCGGCTTCAAACAGACAAGAACCAAGTGTAGAAGAAACTTAACAAATGCCGCTGAGCATGTGAATGCAAGAGACAGTTAACTGGTTAAATGTTATCACGTAAAATCTATATTTTTTAAGAATATTCTATGGATAATATTACTGTTGTCATGTTTTGGAAAACATTTTTGTTGTTGGTATGATATAAACATTTAGTGTAGCAACTTTTTATAAAGTAGGGTAGGAAATACTTTCTGATATTTTATTTCATACACTTTAACCAGTGGATTAATGATTGAGCTAAATGCACATTTTGTAATTCATTGACCAGTTGGACAGACTACCGACTTGCGTGGGATCCGGAAGATTTTGGGGGCGTGGATGGTATTGTGTTACCGGCTTCCCAGGTATGGTACCCCAAGATCGTACTTCTGACGGGTATGGACAATATACAGCAGGTGGGATCTGAAGACTTCGACGTCTACGTAGATCACAGCGGCAGAGTGTTGTGGGTTCCGGGAGGCGTTCTCGTGTAATACTGATTTTCTATTATGTATTAAAAATTCAATGCTTATTAGTAACTCAACTCAACTCCCATTTGTCTAATAAAAAAATTGTTTTTATTATGATCATTCTGATATTAACAATTTATTTCAGATTGTTAACTTCTAACTAAAGAGCCTAACCATTACTAGTAATCTAAATCCATATATCCTTATCCTAAATAATGCATAACTTTGAGATGATTATATACTATGCAGTTGATAATATAAACAATGACAACTTACCCTTGATTATTGATCGTTTATGTTTGTTAGAGGATTTCACGCATAACTATAATATTTGAATACTTTCTTCAAACAGTGAATGTCATTTCCATATTCAAATAGTAGTTATTATTTTGAAAATGAAATTTGAAAAAAAGTCAATGTATGTACTTGTCATATGATTTATCTTTACATAGATGGCATAATGTAGCATTGTCGCATTTAATTCCAGGTCGTCGTGCAAAACAAACATGCGTGACTTTCCCAGGGACTATCAAACTTGTATGCTAATCTTAAATAACATGATATACACTAAAGAGGAGATGAGACTCATCCCTCACCAATTATCTGTAAATATGGATTTCTACACAAAGAATGGCGAATGGGACGTAATCTGGACTAACGTTTCGGACAAGGTTGACAAATACAAGGACTTGACGTCGATTTCGTTTCTCTCTATAACAATTGGCATGATCCGGAAGTCGGATTATTTCATCATCAACATGCTTGTTCCGGTCGCGGTTCTCTGCATATTAGATGCCTTTGTATTTTTGATCCCCATTGGGGCTAGTGATAGAGTTTCGTTTTCCTTGACCCTTTTTTTGTCGCTGACAGTATATATGTCCGTGATGGGGTCATATTTACCAACGACATCGGAACCATTGGCAGGAATGACATATTTCTTGTTGGCATCGGAACTACACAGTACTATGGTAATTTTGATGACTATAGCAACCATTCGTTTAAACGAATATGAGCAACTGCCAACTTGGTTGATTCGGCTGTGTCGACTAGTAAATAGGAAAAACAGACAGAAAAGTAGGTCCTCACAAAAATCTGCTGACAAAGACTATGAAAATATGCCGTTGGACAGGGTTGTTCCTGATTCTACTGATGGGAACGACTCCGATATATTGACTAAAATGTCTGTGTTAAGTGCTTTTGACAAATTTCTGTTTTTTATATCCTTGTCTACAATGATACTGATGTGCATTGTATTTTCAATGGTTTACCTTCAACACGAACATGATCAGGAATAATAGGTTTACCTCGATAAAGTTAGAAATTAGTTTTATTATTGTTATTATTATTTTTTTGCCATTTTACGATTATTACACTCGCAATTAATATCGATCTTTCAATTCAAGTTGTCGTGAATGAATACACTACCTATACGGTATATGCCGTAATGAAAGATTATGTTTTTAAGCATATGCTGTATAAAAATATTTAATTTGGTTTATACAGAAACGTTTTGAAAAATTGAATGTTATGTTAAGTCACGCTAAAATTTTAAAATATGTTGTTGCAGTTTAAATCTCTATCTCGTGTGATGCCCATGAACATCAATTAAAGCAGAGAGAGAGAGAGAGAGAGAGAGAGAGAGAGAGAGAGAGAGAGAGAGAGAGAGAGAGAGAGAGAGAGAGAGAGAGAGAGAGAGAGAGAGAGAGAGAGAGAGAGAGAGAGAGAGAGAGAGAGAGAGAGAGAGAGAGAGAGAGAGAGAGAGAGAGAGAGAGAGAGAGAGAGAGAGAGAGAGAGAGAGAGAAGGCTTGCCAATCCATACGGGCCGATAGCTGCAGAACAGGACCTGACATGGGTTTCTGTGGCAGTCTAGAACGTGCTGTATTAACAAACGTCTTGGTGCTGTGTTGTTGCTTTCGGAAAACCTCTAACATGAATTGTGGAAATGTTTCCGTTTGTTTGGAAACGATTACACATTATTTTCACCTCAGATTGAGACATCCTAAAAGTCTGCTGCAACAGGACATTGGGGAAAACCAGCATGTTGTATCATCATGCCCCTATTCATTTCAACGGTCGTTGTGCTAATTCCAAGAACAGGACGAATGTTAGTTATATGTAGTTTAAGGGTTGTACACGTTGAAACGTTTTCACGCGCTGTTATGGTAGACAGGACACTTTAAAGAAAATGAAAAGCTGAAAATAGAACAGAGAGAAAATATAATATCCTTACAAACATCAGATTTATCGCATAATAGCAAAATGTGAACAATGTTTTGTGATAGAGTAGTAAAAATATAATAACAAGATATCTTTCGTTTGAAATAAATAATGTAATATCCTACCTTTTAATAGATTTATGTCGTATTATACATGAAACAGATTAATGAGAAATGCCGTCATTGGATGATTTTGATGTGCTATTTATATTGAAATGAAATATTTTTAATGCGTTATGGTAACTGTCTTTATATAATGTTGAATTCTTGTATACAATATTTAGCCACATTAGACATTTGATGGTTATGGTAAACAAAATATATTATTAAATAATATCTGTAGTATTTTATGGTAGACAAAGTGGTATAATATCTGTAGTATTTTGTGGTAGACAAAGTGGTATAATATCTGTAGTACTTTGTGGTAGACAAAGTGGTATAATATCTGTAGTACTTTGTGGTAGACAAAGTGGTATAATATCTGTAGCACTTTGTGGTAGACAAAGTGGTATAATATCTGTAGTATTTTGTGGCAGACAAAGTGGTATAATATCTGTAGTATTTTGTGGTAGACAAAGTGGTATAATATCTGTAGTATTTTGTGGTAGACAAAGTGGTATGATATCTGTAGTATTTTGTGGTAGACAAAGTGGTATAATATCTGTAGCAAAGTATGCATTGTATATGTTTATGATTTTTTTTTCGGTATATATTCGAGACAACCGGTTTTGCTGTAAACTTATAAAGGCACATTGAGACGTATTTGTACGGAATATATTGTGCTAGGAGTATGTAACTTATCTATAAGACAAAAAAACCAATGCTACTTATTTAACTTGAAGTGTTGCATATTTCATAGATATACCATAAAACATCACTTATGATTTTTTTTTCATTTTTCATTAAAAGAAAGTATTTATGAAGACAATAAAATTTTCAATTTCATTTTTCAATTAAACATGAAAAACAGTGAAATACTGACGACCCTGAGAACATGTTTAATCAACTATTATGACTGCCCTTGTTGAATACCCGGATTAATATTTCATTTAAATTGCACTTATCACTTATTTATATGTCGTCGTGTAAATATAACTTGTTCATATTTTGCACACGTTTTCTGTTTTTTCATAGTTTGAATTAAGACTCCAGATTTGTTCTTGAAACGTAAGCGTTTTCTCCTTTACAGATCACACCTGCAATACTATCTTTGTCAAGCCACTTAAGTTTAACAACAGCCAATCCTATTGTTCGTGTTTAAGTAAACTTAATTCCATAAATAAACTATACATACCTGCTTGGAATCACAAACCGCAGACTATTATATCTGTTCTAAATGTCAAAACAAAATATGAGATAAAAATGGCGCTATAAAAACGAGCAATTAGCATCTGACTTGCAAACTTCCTTTGAAACCGGTTTCCTATAAGATTTTTTTAGGACAGCATGAGATATCATTTTTGTTCTATAACCGTACAATGAAAACACCGTGCTATGAAGATATTTGTATGAGCCGCGACCAAATGCGACTCAGGTCGACATTGCCATAAATTTTACCATGCGAAAACATTTATAGTCGGAATATACCTGAACTTCGAAATTAAATACAAGTAATTGATATTATCTGACACTGTCTGGAAATATGAAATATTCATGATGTATGCCTATTAAACATGAAAAGATAAATAAATAAAATAAAAAAAATCCAGAAGAATATATGAAGAACATTCACATCGTTTTCTCGACAAGCTGTCTTATTAAAATTCACGTAATATTACTAAGAGAGTACTGCAGCATCAGTGACAGCGCTTGGCTGAGGTAAATTTGAGTGTATATGATAAAGCAGACTACACACTGAAAACGGTTATCATTGACAAAATCAATATGAGACGATGAACTATAACTTTGTGCACGGGTTCTCGATTGTTTACCTGCAATCTTACCTTCATAGACACTAAAAGGTACAATAGTTATGTTGCACAAAAATGTTAGCTCATAAGCATTTCAGTAGGTAGTCGTCTCTTTAGCTTTCTTCAGGCGTGATTAATGGGTTCAGAACCTCCCAGCGACACCGTGTAACACAATACTACTTCTATATCTCGTGTCGCCTTCTATTTAGGCAAACCGGAGCATGACACGAGGCCCTACAAGCCAGAGTAGCGATAGTGTCGGATAGTGTTGGACGACCTTGCCTCAGGTGAACTCACCCGTGACGGGTTTTTTTCTCGTGAAGCTGAGAAACAGAACGGTCTGCTCTGGCATAGTTGTGTCTTTGGTCAAGACACTTAACACTTTTATAATTGCTGTGGATGACATGCATAGTGCCTCTACTGTATTGTTTAATTAGATAGCCACCAACTTCTACATGGAGGCCCTCACTCAAAATGACCCATCATGTTAAAGAAACGATACTCACCAAACGTTCGAAGCGATACATCCTTTCGTGATCTGGACTGCGGCCTTCTCAGTTCGTGCTTTTATTTGATAGGAACAGCTATTATTATAATGATGAAATGAATTATAACGTAACTTACATCATATGACCATCGTAAAACTTGTTGATTGAAAAGATGATTGTTGTCTAAAAATGTCATTCGATGACAAGACGTCCATAAATAGAATATGAATCACTAAATTTCTGTGAAGACAAAACAATGTCTAGAACAAAGTCATCATTGTGATTATGAAAAGTGATATAGGGCCAGAATAGTTTGTATTTAAATATTCAGCATAACTAAAGTGATAGTTATCAACGTCTGCAAAGGTCGATAATTATATTATCACAATAAAGAAATACTGATGTGTATATGGTGTAGAAGATATTTACTTAAAACTTGTTCTTGCTTTACGATTTCTCTGCCAATTTTCAGTGCAAAACTTTCCTTCTACCTTTGATATTCATTTTTATAGCTGCACATTGCAGTCGATTTGGATAAACAATTTAAAGGCAAATTTATTCGTTTATGTGGATAAAGGTGTAAAATCACAGTAACCATTTTTACCATCATTACCAAATCGACATTTACTGAATTGTTGGACCACTGCACCTTCCTATCGAAATGTTGATATTTCTTTCGTGCAATGCATTTTCAGCGGTGGCTTCCTAACTTGAACTTTGGTTCCCTTAACATCACTGACGAATCCTAGAAGGACGAAACACGTGTCTGATGCAAGTTTATTCATTTTTGACTTTGCTGTATCTTATTTGAATATGTATTAGAAGGTGCTAATAACTTGTGTATCTTTTGTCCCATCCTCGTATATATCTCTGGATCAGACATAGAACGATGCTCGGTTGTTTCAATCTCGTATGGATCACGAGAACGTACCGTAGATATAAATTAAATATACCACCCACGTCCAATGAAATTGGATACGAATCGGTCGGACGATAAAGCAGGGACTGTGAAATTTTAAACCTTATGTGTTACCAGCATGTCGATTTAATACTATGTCACTATGTTCTTAAAACTATGTCCCTACAATAAAGTAAATAGTGCCTTATCACAAGAGAACCTGATGGTATACATCTTAAACTGTCCTAAACATTACGATATAATGCTTTAAGTTTGATAATCCTGCCACTGTTTGATATAGTTATTTGCAATTTTCAGCAAAGATAAGACCGCAAATTTGTCAGGAAATTTTCCTTAATTGTGTTCTGGTATTTCGTTACCTTGAAACGCACACATTGTGAATGATGAACAATGACAAAATAGGAAACAATGTTTATGAGGGTGATGGTATTATTTTGTGTAAGTCTTCACCAGTATCCGAAACTTCATTAATGGAAATTAGACATTGGGATCACGAGAGAGTTAAGTTGTTGAAAGGTTATTGAAGTTTCGAGTTACATATCTCGATGTGATGTCATGAGGAAATATATGCATATACATTAAAGGAATTTTCTTTCACCCGAGTTATGTTTTTAAAGTTATAGCTTACGTAACTGGAAGAAATACAGACCTATTCAGAGCTATTACGCCTATGAATGGACCTATTCTACACCCAGATGTATAATCAACGATATCAGTAAGGGCTAAGTGATATGGCCTGCAATGAAACGTAAATAATCAGTT